ACCGTCCCTCTGCCCCCCACAGCGCCCCCCTCCTGCCCCGCGGCCTTCGACCTTCACTCCTCGCTTCTCAGGCTGCCCCTGGGCCGCGGTGTCAGGCGTGTTGGGTGGTTGGTTTTCTCCCGTCCGGTTCAGGCCTCGGCCAGCGTCCAGCACGGGCGGGACTGTGCACACAGTGGGAAAGACGGGGAGACCCGGGGTTCGGCTGTGGGTAGGAGGTGCAGAGCCCCTGGAGGCACAGAGGTGCCCCGCCTTCCTCAGCAGCCCCTCCCCCACCCTGACATTATCATATGGCAACAGTAACCATGGCAACAGAGGACCCCTGTCCCTAATGATGGTTGCAGCCCACCTGCTGTGGGTCGGGCTTTGCTCTCGGTCCATCAGGGTGGGGACGTTTCCTGCCAGCGGCCGTGTGGGTATTTATAACATCATCCTCGGGCCAAACAACATGAGCAACTTAAACCTTAGCCTGCTGCCCGGCCGGCGTGGCTCAGTGGTGAGCGTCGGCCTAGGAACCAGGAGGTCAGGGTTCGGGTCCAGGTCAGGGCACAGGCCCGGGTTGTGAGCTTGATGCCCAGTGGGGGGCGTGCAGGAGGCAGCCGGTCCATGATTCTCTCTCATCATGGATGTTTCTCTCTCTCTCTCTCTCCCTCTTCCTTCCTCTATGAAATCAATAAAAAATATACATATTTTTTAAAAAGAAGAAAAAGAAAAACTGGAGAGAGAGAGCCATCTCCTAGCACTGGAGACCGCAGGGTCCCCTGGTCCCGCCCCTCCCTGGGACCAGCGTCAGTTTCCCCGCCTGCCTGCCCGGCCCCTGCCCTCCCCCCGCTGCCCAGCCGCCAAAGGGCCCATTTAGCTGGAGACAGTGAGCGTGGCGGGCGGGCGCTCCCGGAGCCCAGGGTAATTGCCTGTAATGAAGGCTCCAACGTCTTTGTTCCTGCGAGTGGCCTGTGAGTGCCCTTGGGAGCTGGTGCCCAGAGACCCCACCCTGCCCGCTGCCCCCACCGGCCCAGCACCGCACAGCCTCCTGGGAGTCGAGTGGCCCAGGCGGAGCTGACCCCTGCTGCTTCCCCCGCTCCCTGCCTGGACCGGGGCCAGCTGGGGATGGGGGGTCTGGGTGTCCCCTTGCTCCGTGAGGGGTCCATCGGTCTAAGGAGCCTGTCCCTGTGTGATGCACGGGCCGTAGTACACGCAGAGCTCTGGGCAGCGACCGTGGCCTGAGGTCCCCAAACCCCGTGGGTGACGTAGGAATCGGGCGACTGGCCTCAGGCATCTGTGTGAGACCCTGAAACAGTGCTGTTCTACACGGGCAGGCACTGCCTGCTCCCCGGGCACCCCAGGCCCAGCTCTGGCCCGTGGCTCAGTAGACGTCTCGAATGAATGAATGAATGAATGAGTGAATGAATGAATGAGTGTACCGGAGGTCAGGCCCTCCTACTCCGAGGCCCAACTTTGCCAAGACACCTGCAGCCTCCGGGCGGCCCGGGCACAGGGGTGCAGGTACCAAGCTCTAAGGGGTCCCCCAGCCCCATGGAGAGGTGTCGAGGCCACAAGTGACCACCGTTCTCTGTCCGGCAGGTTGCAGACCGAGCCTGAACCCGGCCCGCCTCCCCAGGGCAGCTGGGCCGTCGACGGCTACTCCACCTCCACTGGCGGGACGGAGGATGGCGTCTCCTGCGTGGGTGAGTGCTGTGGGGGAGGGGCCTCCTTCTGGGGTGGGGGGTCCCTCTCTTCACGGGGGGGCGTCCGCCACGTATATTGCGTTTAAGCTTTGGGGCTCAGCCCAGAGCTAAGCTTTCCCATCTGGGCGGCGAGCACTTCAAGGTCAGGGGAGGAGAGTGGCCGGGGGGCAGGGGACACAGCCTGACCTCGCTGTCCTCTTCCGGGCAGGTCGTCGGGGGTCCCGGGCAGCGTGGGAGCGGGGTCCCCCTGAGCTGTCTTCGGGCCTGGAGGCGGCGGTGACTCAGAGCCACTGGGACTTGGGGAGGAGAGGGTGGGCGATGGGGTGGGGCCGGGCCTGCAAACAG